TATAAACAATTATCATCAAAGAGAAAGAAAATATTTTTCAAAGATAATTGAAAACTTAATAATTAACAATTGTAGAACTGAAAACTTTCTATTCTATATAATAAAAGTATGAGATATGAGTTTTAGTTAAGTTTCTTTTATTCAAATCAAATAGCATTAAGTCATTAAATATATATATATAAAGAACATCGAACTTATGTAACATGTTGAAACAAAATTAAATTAATTGAAAACTTGTTTAATATTATAATATGTATAATTTTATCATATATTTAAGGTGATAAAGCATATCGGGATATGCGTCATGTCAAACAAAGTCAATCAATAATAATATCAGGCGAATCTGGAGCAGGTTCGAAAGAAAACTTATTTGATTAATATATTTATTTCATTGAATTTAGGTAAAACTGAATCAGCTAAATATGTTTTACGATATTTAACTGAATCATACGGCGTACATAATGGTCAAATTGAAGATCGTATAAATGAATGTAAATAAATAAAAAAACAGTCTTATTACTCAATGTTTTTTTTTTTTATTTAGCCAATCCATTATTAGAAGCTTTCGGCAATGGTAAACAAAGGACTAGTTGCAATAAGGCCGTTTTTTAATTGTCCACGATATTTTTGGCTTTTATCTATCTGAGAGATTTTAAGGAACTACTAGAAGTATTCTTCATGACTTACTTTTGCATCATTTCAAATTGACGTTTTTGCTCCTATGATTCCCCCAAGAATTAAAAAAAAAACTGTTTCTCAAAAATCCTCAGAAGCATATTGTTTATATACTGCTAAACTGTCTGGAAAAGTATTTTCCCATATATTAGCTCATCTTTATATGAAAACATTGTTTTTCTTCCTTCTAAAATATGCTGAAATGTGCAAAAACGTTTACTCTACTATACTGATTCAGAGTATAGTCTCAATTGTATTTAGAAAAATGAACAAAATGCTAAAAATGGCTAAACATTATAGAAACAGTTGTTTTTTGCTAAATTTATGCTTCAAATCATTTCAAATTTCAATTTCAATTCCATCCATATTCAAATTCAGCGAAAAAACCTACATCTAATGACATACTTTGTATAATTTTTATGAATAACTTTTTCTCTTCGAAAAACCATTTTGAAATCTTGTACGAGAAGAACTAAAAAGTCGAATGTCTAAAACTTGGTACAAACGCTACATTACAGAATAATTTGAGGTTTTTATCCAATTTTTATTACTATTTCGAAGCTTTCTACTAGACTTTGAAGTAGTTTTTAGCCACTCGACTTTTCAGCTTTTATCGCAGGAACCCCAGGATAGTTTTTGGAGAAAACAAAAGTTGTTCATAAAAACTATACAAAGTATATCATTAAATGCAGTTGTTTTTTTTTACTGAATGTGAATATGAAATTGAAATTGAAATTCGAAGTGATTGGAAACATAAATTTAGCAAAAAAACAGCTGTTTCTACATTTTTTTTGCCACCTTTAGCATCATTTTTCATTTTTATAAATACTTTTAAGACCATACTCTGAAAAAATAATGTTTTCATATATAGATGAGCTAATATATGGGAAAGTACCTTTCTAGTCAATTTAGCAGGAAAATATTTTTTTTCGTAAAAAAAAACTCAACTCATTCACAATACAATTTTGATATTTGTAATCCATGCAAAACATCGCATATAAATGATATGCTTCTGAGCATTTTTGAGAAAACAATGTTTTTGATTCCTGAGGGAATCACAGGAGCAAAAATGTCAGTTTGAAATGGTACGATAGTAAGTCATGAAAAATACTTCTAGTAGTTCCTTGGCATCTCTCAAATAGATAAAAGCCAAAAAATATTGTGGGCAATAAAAAAAATGGTGTTATTGCAACACGTTCTTTATTTTATTTATTCAATTTTTTGTTTACAAAAAATTGAATATTTAGCTAAAACAACTCGTAATAATAATTCAAGTCGTTTTGGCAAATTTATTGAAGTTCATTTTAATGATAAAGTATTAAAAAAATGAATTATTTTGAATTAAAGCAAAAAAATTACAATATCTTTTCTCTAGCATCGTGTTGTCGGTGGTTATATATCTCATTATTTACTTGAAAAATCTCGCGTATGTGTTCAATCAAAAGATGAACGAAATTATCATGTATTTTATCAACTATGTGCTGGTGCATCTGAAAGTACTCGAAGAGAATTACGTCTTTCGTCACCAGATAATTTTCATGTTTGTATATTAAAATGAAAAACAAAATATTTTTATTTTATTAGAAATTCTTGTGTCTCATTTGATTTGCTTCTATATTAGTATCTTAATCGTGGTTGTACACAATATTTTTGTAATAGTCAAGCAGAAAAACTTTTATCAAAAACTTCTCGAAGTCAAGATGTAAGTTAAATTAATTTAAAACAACAAAGAAAAAGAAGTTCTGTTGATTTATTATTTTTATTATTCGAATAGAAAAATTCTCTTGATGCAAGATATTCCTATTGTTATTAATGTTGTTATATCTTTCTTATGAATTAAAATAAATAAACATTTCTTTTTTTTTTCTTGTTTTTAGTTTATATCAAAAGGTCCATTACATGATCCACAGTTAGATGATCTTAATAATTTTAATGAATGTAATCAATCAATGGATCAAATGGGTTTAACAACACAAGATAAATTAAATATTTATAGTACAGTTGCAGCTGTTCTACATGTTGGAAATATTGATTTTGAAGATAATCCTGAAAGTACAAAAGGTGGTTGTAAAATAACATCAACAACAGAAAAGTCATTAAGTATAACAGCTGAAATGCTTGGTCTTGATCAACATGATTTACGTAATGCCTTAATAACAAGAGTTTTAATGACAAAAACAGCTAGTCGTAGTAAGGAAACTGTTATTTCGTAAGTATATTTTGTTAAACACGATCTAATAGGCATGTTAAGATGTCGAAGTAAAAACTGGGACCCATCCTTCACAGATCGTAACAGATACTGTTGATACACAATCATCGATTGTATATCAGCGTTCTGCGAGACAGTTTCGAATTCTGAAAAATATCATTTGTTTCATCCTGTAGGACATTCATTACTGAGATATTTTGAAAATGCAATTCAGAATTTAACAAAAGTTTGTTCCGCAGGATACTACTGTATATCATTAATGTCTAATTATAATATATACACTACTTTCTTATAACATTTCTGGTAGATTAAGTAAAAGGATGATCAAAGAAATGTGTTCTGAAGCATATAGAATAGACTAGTCTCTCTATAAGTAGCAACAGTAACTACGCTAACAGTTTTCTTTTTTTCTTTATTTCTTTGATTTGAATTCTAACTTTTTTTTTTATAAATTAGTGTTCCATTAAAAGTTCATGAAGCTCAAAATGCACGTGATGCATTAGCTAAAGCAATATATATTAGATTATTTGATCAAATAGTTGCGTTTGTTAATAAATCAATACCATTTAGTTCATCAACTTCATATATTGGTATTCTTGATATAGCTGGTTTTGAATATTTTCCTATTAATTCGTTTGAACAATTTTGTACTAAGTATGATAATAAGAAGATGAATACAAATCAATTTTAGAAGAATGTTGTTTTGTTTTTTTTAGTTATTGTAATGAAAAATTACAACAATTTTTCAATGAACGTATACTCAAAGAAGAACAATTATTATATGAAAAAGAAGGTCTTGGTTTGAAAAAAATTAGTTATATTGATAATCAAGATTGTATTGGTATGTTAATTAAGATTTTTCTTTCTTGTTTATTTTAAATAACATAGAAGCCTGATAGGACTCAAATTTTTTCTAAATCACATTCGTGTGTGTGTGTGCGTGGATATATCTGTTATCATATATTTTGCATCAGTGTTATCAAGAAAATGTGATGTGTTGACTTCAAACATAGGCTTGTAATTGTTTGAGATAACAAAAATAAAGGCTAGATAAAGTTGTCCGTAAGAAAAGAAAAACTAATGATGACTCATATACTGAAAGAACGAATGTGAAGTCTTTATTTAGCTGTTAAATGGAGGCAAAGTTGTATATTAAATGTGTTTTTTTATGTTAGAGATCATTGAACTAAAAGACAGCAGATAGTACTTATGAACATCGAAGAACTATAAAACATAAGATAAACTAACATAGATCATATTTTAAAGGCTTCAATGTCATGCTTTACATTGTAAAATACTTTTATCTTGTACTTCACTGTACAGAATATGTCACATTTTGAAAAGTTTAAAATATAGAAAATATTTTTCTTTTAATATGAAGCAATCTATTAAAGTAAAAGAATGAAAAACAAACTGTTGTTTACAATCTAAAAACTTATAGAAAAGGTTTTCTTAAAATTATATTCAATGGAAGAACGTATATAGGGATGAGCATTTTTCTACACACATGTTTTTGATTTTTGTATATCTGACAGGTGTCAACAAGTCACTAGAAGTGTTTTATATGACTTAGTTTGCCGTCATTTCAAGTTAGGTTTTTGCCCTCTCAGAAATCGAAAAATCCTTTGTCATATATCATTTGTATTCAGTTTTCTATGCTGATTCTGAATATCATGTTTATATTTCGATTGAGTTGAATTTTGCATGAGAAAATAGCATTTTATTGTTAAATGGATTATAGAATCATATTCACAGACATTTAATCTGTCTATAAATGAAAACTTTATTTTTTTTCTTTCTTAAATATGTTAAAATGTGCAAAATCGTTTACTCTAGTCATTATACGTTGATTCAGTTATAAAAATAATCGATGAGCAATCGAAGTGTTTCATACACTTAGAAATGTCTCACTTTTAAGGACCAGGAAATGGTTGAGCGTCAAATAGCCATATATATATACTATTCGATGTAGCTTTTTTCTAATAATGATTCAGAATTTGATCTGAAAAATATTTAAAATGTTTGTACTATATGCTGAAAATGACGGAAAGCTCTGAAATCGATTTTTTTGAGCCTACATATGTTCAATTTATACGCTGAAATCGCTTCGAATTTTAATTGTCATGTTCAAATTTAGTGGAAAAAAGTGTATCTAATAATATACTTATTAGTGAACAGTTTTTTTTTGTTCGAAAAAAACTACTTTGAGGTCTCCCTCAGAATAAGTTGAAAACGCGAATAACTAAAAATTGAACTAACCACTGTAGTTTCTGTCAACTTTTATTATTGTTTCGAAGCTTCTTGCTAGACTTTCAACTTTTTCCGTATAAATTGAGCATATATAGACTCAAAAAAGTCAATTTCAAAGTTTTCCGCCACTTTTAGGATACAGTACAACTTTTTAAATATTTTTGAGATCATATTCGGAATCAGTGTAAAAAAAACTACATCGAATGATATATATATATATATATACATAACTATTTGACACGCGGTCATTTCCTGGTCTTTAAAAGTTAGCCATTTCTAAGTGTATGAAACACTTCGATTGCTCATCGATTGTTTTTATAACTGAATCAACTGAGAATGAATAGTGACATGAGAAAACGCAGTCGAACAGTTTTTTAGACTTAAATAGAAAGAACAAGAGTTGTTTTTGAATGATGTTAGTGTAACTTAACATGCAAATAAGTCGTTGGACAAAATAAGATTGATATCGAATTTTTTTCTATCATAACGATAAGATTTGAGCTTATAATCATTTTCAACAATTCACAATAATAACATTACTCCAGCTTTTTTTACTTGCATGAGAAAGATGAAAAAAGAAACATTTATTAGTTTTTATTTTATTATTTGATAAGTTCATATATAATTGTTGATGTACTGTGTTTAGATTTAATCGAAGCAAAAACAACTGGTTGTTTTGATTTACTAGATGAAGAAAGTAAATTACCAACACCAAGACCAGAACATTTTACAAATGAAGTTTATAATCGTAATAAAGGCCATCCAAGACTTAATGTAAACAAAATAATAATTCTTTTGTTTTATAAATTTTGTCAATTTATTTTTTCTTTTATTTTGTTCAGTTTCCACGAAAATCTAAATTACGAACATCACGTGGAATTCGTGATGATGAAGGTTTTCTGGTTCAACACTTTGCTGGTAGTGTTGTTTATTCAACTGTGTGTATTTAATTATTATATTTAACTATTTAAATATATTAAAAAATATTTTTTTAAGGCACAATTTATTGAAAAAAATAATGATGCATTACATGTATCACTACTTAGTTTGGCTCAAGAATCTAGAAATAGTTTCATTAAAAGCCTTTTTTCAAACGTATCCGAACACGAAAAATCAGTAGGAAAATTAAATTTTATTTCTGTTGGTTCAAAATTTCGTTCACAATTATCCGATCTTCTGAATAAATTACGACGAACTGTAAGTAAACAAATTATTATTGTATCGTATGAATATTACTTGAATGAAGAATTCATTAATAATATGATTTTATATTGCTATAGAACAGAATATCATAGAAATTTAACATCATCAATTTCTTTTTTGTATTGACTTACAGCAGTCAAGGAAAAATATCTTTGCCTTGTGACTCTTTTATTGTTGGAAACTTTTTCTAAATTTCTTTTTTAATTTTAAATAGGATATTAGTTTTATTCGTTGTATTAAACCAAATCTTCAAATGGTTCCAAATTTATTTGAAGGTGGTCATATTCTAAGTCAATTACAATGTAGTGGTAAAGATCTAAAGAAAATAATTTCTAGAATTCGAATAAATATTGTTTTTTTCAATAGGTATGGTATCAGTATTAGATTTAATGCAACAAGGTTTTCCATCACGTACACAGTTTTCTGAATTATACGGAATGTATAAATCATATTTACCAAAAGAATTAGCAAGACTTGATCCACGTCTTTTTTGTAAAGCATTATTTAAAGCTTTAAATCTTCGTGATACAGATTTTAAATTTGGTTTAACAAAAGTTTTTTTTCGTCCCGGAAAATTTGCTGAATTTGATGAAATTATGAAATCTGATCCAAAGAATTTAGCTGTACTTATATCTAAAGTTAAAAAATGGATTTTATGGACACGATGGAAAAAAGCTCAATGGTGTGTTTTATCAGTTATTAAACGTAAATTAATTAAAAAAAGAAAATTAATAATTTTTTTTTTCTAAATGTTTATTATTATTATTTAGTTAAAAATAAAATTCTCTATCGACGTCAATGTTTAATTGATATTCAAAGACATATTCGTATGCATTTAGTTTATAAACGTTATGCACCACAGTAAATATATAAATCATTTCAACTATATTTTGTTAAATATTTGTTCTTTGTTTTCTTGTTTTTTTTTCGTAGAATTCAAGGTTTAGTTAAAGTTAAAGTATTATATGAACAAGTTTCTTCAATGGAAAAAATTGTTAGACAAATGAAATTGAATAAAGAACAAGTTTACAAATCAGTACAACAATTAAGACAACGAATTGATCAATTAGTCAATGAAATTACAGTAGGTTGCATTTGAAATTTATTTTTATAAAATCATAATTCAGTTTTATAAATAAAACATATCCAAAGTCAGTTGGGTTTTAGTATTTAAACGTTGTCTATAACAAATTCTACATTATTAAAATAAGTTTTCTAACAACATGTCGATTAATGACTAATGAGAGAACATTACCAGCTATGCAATTACTTTTCGCTTAAGACTATTGTCATTTAATCGACTATGTTGAGTAATAGAAAAGTCTTTTTTACTTTCATTTTCTGGTCTTCGCTTGTTAAGTTATGAGCGTTTTACTCGACTTTTTCGCTATTGGGCTTGAGAAGTCGACGCATCTTGCTATAAAATATAATAGTGAAAGTTTTAGTTTCCAATTCGGATTTCTACATCTGTATATTCAATTTCTCTTCGCTATCATTTTATGCAAACAAGTACTTTTATAATCGGTTATTTTTGCCAGTTTGGAGATAAAACTCATCCGATCAGAAAAAAAAATTCTCTCTAATTCCAACTCTGCATCTTTCTATATTTGTTTCGCGAGAATCTACCATTGTAATTCATAATTAATCAAATAAGTTTGAAATATTGAAACTCTTATTAGATTCGATTGCGTACCTAGACAAGACTAATACACATCTGTATATATTCATTGATCTTTCAAGAGATGTCATAGTGTTCTTCATTGTTTTGTGTTTCAATCCTTAAAAGTGTCAAATGTGAACGGATATTATCAATTTTCTTAAATTCAATATAATAAGATGTTGGATATACTATTACAACTTACAGTTTCATATGGAGGTCACACATTTCCATAAGAATTGATCTCGAGTTAAATATATTTAAATCGTATGAAACTCTAAGGATATGGTAGAACTGTTATGGAGACATTTCAGTAAAATTCTCAGCTCTGTTCCATAACATTTTCGGAAAATATTTCACAGTCAAAGGTCAAAAATAGTTCACTTGACAATCTGAAGTTCTTTGTAGATCTTCATTCTATAAATTTACGCTTTTTTATTCGAAAGAGCATGTCAGACCTCAGTGTCTAGTAGAGTTCCTTTTTCTTTTTGAAAATTCTTATTTTTTATGCGAAGAAAAAGAATAACTATTGTTGAAAGCCTCGAATGACACTTAAAAAAAATGGTACTAATGATAAAAGTACTTTATTATATAATCATAACAAAGCTTAATTCAAAAACAAGAGTGTATGTCACGCCTGATATTTTGACATGTTCTTTCAAACAATAACAAGGTTAAATACATAGGATGAACGTCCACTGAGAATTCTGGGTCATGCCATCAAAAGAACAGAAATAGAGAAAAACATTTCCTAATTTTTGTGAAAAAGCATATTTTTCACAAAAAAAATAAGATGTCAATTAAAAAATCATGTCGTTCATGAAAAGGTGAGATCTTAGAATATCGTCCAATATGTTCATCTTAATTAAGTACTAGACAAAAAAAGTAAGAGTTTATATACGTGAATTTGATTTAAAGATCATTGAAAGTTTCTTACCAACTAACAAAGTATTGAAAACTTTATAGATAAATATCAATTAGTAAAAGCGGAAATTGAATTAAATTCTATTGTTTTTATTATTTAGAATAGATCTGTGAATTCAACATATATTGATAATGCATATAATGAGCTTGTTTCATTAATTGATCGTGAATTTCGTCGATTAAAACAAGTTCTTGCTCAACAAGAAGTAAAAGAAGAAGAACATTTAAAAAAAATCCAAGTAAATAAAATAATCTCTGTTTTCTTAAATTAATATAATATTAACAAAAAAAAAAAATCAACTATCTTAAATATTTAGATGGAACTTGAACATGAAAAAACTAAGAAAATTGTTGAAAAAAAGCGTTTAGAACAAGAACAAGAAGAATTTCGACAGTAAGAATTTAACAAATTCTTGGGATTTTTGTTTTCTATTAAAAATACTTCTATGAACACTAGACGTTCAGCTATGGCTCAACATCAAAGAGAACAAGCACAGCTTAAAGGTAAACTTACTGCTGACGAAACAAAACATCGAGTAAGAATTTAAAAAAAATCGATCTTATCTAAAAAGAAAATCTCTCTATAGAAAAAACGTCAAGTAAAAGAAACAGATGAAGAAGATCGTTTTGCTGAAATGAATGAACGTGAGCGTCGTGATTATGATTTAGCACGACGTCTTGCTTTAGAAACAGGTGATGAAGCTGATTTACCAGAGTTACAACAACCATATCGTCGTTTAATTAATCCAAAATATAATTTCAATAGATATACATATGCTGAATTACGTGATTCAATTAATACATCTTGTGGTAAATAAATTACAAAAGTAAAAAAAAAAATGTTATTCATTTACATCTTAAATAGATTGGGAATTACTTCAAGCTTGTCGAGAAGAATTGCGTCAACGTGTAAAATTTTTCTATGCTTGGAAATCAAAAAATCAAAAAAGAAAAAGTCCATTCGCTTTAAATAATAGAATCGATGAAATCGATGAACAAGCTTTGAAGGATACTGTAAATAATAGTAAGTTTATTCATTAGTAAAATATTAAATGAATTAGACATACATTGAATTCTATTCATTTTGCGTTCAGTTCAATGTCATATGAGAAAGAAAACAAAGTAGAAAATCTATTTTCTATAAATAAACAATAATATTTTAATCAAGAATTAATTGATGGTTTAGAAAGAAACCATCATTCAGATAATGATAACGACCTATGCTACTAAAATTAGTAATTTATAAGTAGTGACCTCAGCAGAAATTTTAACATGAGGACTCAGTTCCCACCCTCCAGTCAATGTGTTTTTGGCCTTTTTCAGGCACTAACCATTTCCGTACGCCAAATAAGTATAGCTCAATTTTAAAACTAAGATAACATCAAAGCTTAGAAGATGTATGCCCGTACTGATTATCTTAGATATATCTCACACTAGCTGAGTTTCAAAAAAATATAAAAACAACAACACATAACTTTTTATTAAGTCGTTGAAAATTTTATTTCTATAATGTGTAATTATCAACAGAAAAAGTTTGATCAAGTGACTCAGCTAATGAACAACTATTTTCAATAAGCAATTGCAGAATTTGGAAATTTGTAAACTTTTATATTTTGTTTAATATGAACAAATCTACAAAATTCAAAATGGTAAGCACTCTTTAAGATTCTTCGTAATAGGCCATGATAATGATGATAGTCGTGATGCTGTTGAGCATGTAGAAAACGTTGATCATAATGAAAAAGACTTCGGCAGTGAACCAAATAATCGACAAATAGTATCAATAGGTATTAAGAATGACAATATATTCGACGTTAATAATTTTCATATAGATTGATCGTGTAGAACAGTTGTGTCACCATGTAAATTTCTATTTGAACCGATTGAAGATGGTTTTGTTCTTGATGAACAAGATTTGACAAGTTTCATTTTTTACACTTGAAATATTTCAATTTATTCATAGATTTTTCTTCGGACATGTGAGTTATAAAGAGCAACATAATATAGGGAATAAAGCTGTTAATATCAACTGATTTCAGCTGTAAAATAATGGCTACCTATTGAATATCTCTCGCAATAAAAGATTTCGAATCTAATATCATATCAAAACCTACAAAATTCTAAGAGAAGCCTTCTATTGTGGTCAACAGATCTTTATAAGTTCTAATAAAACCATTCCAATAAAGTATGACTTTCCGGACTTAACAAGTGATTTTTAAGCTTTAAGAAGTCATAAATAGTATTAGTCAAAGCATTTTAAGACCTTCAGTTCGAAGTTCTGAAAACTATATATTTTAATGTAAAAATTCTAACTGAAATCGGAACTTTTCGAGAAATGGTTAGATTATGAAGCTCTCTATCTTGTAGAGAGCATCATTTCCCAAAATAGGTCATCTGGTAAAGTAAAATCTTTTATTGTCTAGACGCATTTACTTCCAGTCTTAAGTTACATATAGATCGTCAATAATTCAATATTTAAGCCAAATTGTTCTAAATGATTATCATTTATTCTTAATTTAAAAATTTCATGAATAACGTGAAACTGCGAGTAGTAAAGCTGAGCTCGCCCTGATCTCATCCTAGTAATACCACTATTTATAAGGTCGACTAATCATGAGATTCTATCGACATTCAATGGCTTAATCTAATGATTTTTGCCCATTTTCATTAAAAAAAGTTGCGATTAATCTAAAATTTCTTTTAAAATAATGAATAAGTCTAGTCAATTTTTCATATAAGAATTTCCAAGAAGTCTATTAAAAGTTTCCGTGAGGAATCACGGCAGAGATTTCCTAATGAATTTCCTTAAGAATCTAGTTCGAGAGTTATGATTATTGTGTACTTTCGTATATGACGTCGTTTCGTGTTATATTCTCATAAGTGAGTTACCGATGAGACTATTGTTGGATTTGATGTAAATAAAAAGAATTTTAGCGGTGGATCCATAATTTCTATGGAGTGGAGAGAGAAGAGAGTGCCATTCAACGAAGACAGGAAGCAATCATGATTATAAAACGTGTTTTGAAGCTTATTTTAAAACTTGTCCTGCTAGAAAAACTCGCAAAACATCTTTTGGAAGGGGGACAACCGGTTTTAGTGCTATCTCCCTAAATCATCCAGTGTATAATCTGATTTTTATGCTTTACATGGTGTAGAGCATAGTCGATTTCTTTCCTATAATAGCATAAGATCTGCTATAAATTCTAATGCTGAAGAGATCAACGATTCAGAAAATCAATGCGAAACATAGTTAATACAAAAAAAAGCAGTATAAATAATGCTAAAATGTTCATTATTCTAAATCGCTAACTATATAATACTTTTTACGTAAATACCAAATACAGGGCTATTTTAATACGCGAAGTTTATCCTGTAATAGTATATATAATTATAATTAGATTAGTTAAGAAATAGTTTCGTGCAGCAATGGCGCTTTATTAAGTACTTTCGTAAGAAGTATTGCATATGGGCGTATAGAGTAAATTTTGCTCTACAAAACTTCTTATATCATTATGTGCTCATATTCGACGTTAACGCTGTATAATGATGGATATCTTTGCATTGTTTATACTGTTTTTGTAGAGTATTGGCAATATTTTGCATTAATTTTATGAATCGTTGACCTCTTCAATATTAGAATTTATAGCGGATCTGTTGTTATTATAATAAGGAAATCGACTATGCGCTACACGATTTGAAACATAAAAATTGATTCAAAGAAAATCATGTACATAGGTCACTCCGAAAAACTTTTTTGTACTGTTCACTTAAAAGGCTTTATTAAGAACTAGTTATATTACTGTAAGACCCAAAAATATTTATGATTATGTACAGAATTCCCGACTTCTAAGCCTTGTGGTTTGTCAAAATTCATCATTTCTTTGATACGAGTGAGGCAAGCGACAATGTCGAGTTTTGTATATTAGTTTTCAATCTTTTAGTAAGTTTTATTGAAAAACTAAAACACATCGCAAAATGTAACATCTAAAGCTCTTTAATCTGTAGAGACCATAAAATGATGAAATAAGAAAAAAAGAAATTTCTTGCTCGTGTCATCTTTTCGCATCGTCGACATTTGATCACTCAAAAGGCTGTCCATTTTGAAAGCAAAATATGCAACTACAAAAAACAAAAGCGATCTTATGTAAATTGTAGAACTTTTCATGCTGCATCTTGAAATGAATTTTGTTTTTTATAATACAACTCGTTAAGGCATTGAAAACTGGTATACACAACGCATTCATTCAACCCGTTATGTATTAGATTGGATATTGCATGTATCTACTACAAAAGAAATGATAGATTACAATAAAGTACAAGACCTAAAAATCTGAAATTTTGCACATACTTCTAAATATGTTCGAACATTATAGTGATATAGTTAGTTCTTACTTAAGTCTATGAAGAGGACTGAGCGATAAAACTTTTGAAGTGATCCTTGTATAAAGTGTCACATATACAGTAGAATTAACCAGGAATAGTTTTTATGTAAATGATTCTTACGTTATTATGTTTGAAATATGGTGATTAATGATGAAAAATTACGCGATTTCGATGACATGAGTACCATTAACTGAAATGCATAAATTCATCATTTTCGATATCTATAAAAAGAATGACATAATGCAAAAATCTTTTTTTTTCCGAATTCATTAATTTCTTTTATCGATCAATTGATACGTCTATCTGTATTTCCATCGTAATTTTTATCATATAGGACCGTTTACAACTTAGTATAACACGTAAAGGGTAGTAGACGAAACAAAAGGCTGTCAGGATCATTTTTTTGTGGTTTATAAGATTTATTTGATGCAACAAATTTATCTATTACTAGCATATACTACACTTTAACTGTACCAGAAGAGAATCATAGTTCCTATAGGCCAGGTCTCACCTTGTTCGATCTTTCGCCCTAAATGTCGTTCTCGCTGCCACCTTCAGTTGGATGCCTGTCCTCAGTTTAATTCCTTTCATTCGATAATCACATGTATAACGGAATTTATGAAAAAATTCTAAAAGATCCGGAAAAAAATAAATCCTGGAAGTTGCTGCACCTTGTATATCTTAAATATTATTATTATTATTACACAAAACGTATTCACTTTATAATAATAACAATAAATCTTTATCATTTCAAAGGTATTATTAATTTTAACAAAAAATATCCGTTTTCATAATCTAGAAGTTATTCATATTTATTACAACATAATTATGATTTAATGATGGAAAATACATTCGAATCTATTTAGTTGAACTCAAACTGAAAATAATTTGTTCTAAAATTGATTTACATTGATCTTTATTATAAACGAAAAAGTTTAATTGATCATATTTTTATTTAAAAGTTGTTCCACCTTCAATGACTGCTGGTGCATCAACATCAATTGCATCAATGAAAAAAGTTGGACAATTAATGACTGCTAATTCAAAAAAGTCTAGTAGTGGTAAAGTAGGTGAACAACGATATTTTCGTGTTCCATTTATTCGTCCTAATGATCAAAATCGAGATACACATGTCGAACAGAAGGAGAAAGGATGGTGGTATGGTCATTTTGATGGTAAGATAAAATAATATTTGCTTTTTTTAAATTCTTTGTCAATAATTGTTTGTTTTCTTTTATTCTTAGGTAAATGGATTGCTCGTCAAATGGAAATTCATCCAAATCAAAAACCAGTACTACTTGTTGCTGGTGTTGATGATATAAATATGTGTGACTTAAGTTTAGATGACACAGGTTTAGCATCGAAAAAAGGCGCTGAAATTCTTGAAAGTGATTTTGAACAAGAATGGCTTAAACACAATGGCCGAGAATATTTAAAAGCACATTTTAGACATATTAGTTCCAAATATGTTGTTCAATTGCTTCAAAATTATCGTTAAAAATATTTATTAATTTAATACACAGGGGACAAAAATAAAGTCAAAACACAAAACATTACTTTTCTTTTCTCTTTTTTCTCAATTTCTAAAAAATTTTATCTTGTAGTCTACAAACCAAAACCAAAAATTTACAAATGTCTCTATGTTTGATTTTCTTTCTCTTGTTATTGCGATGATATCTCTTTTAAATTTATTCGGTTTTTTCCCGTTAGAATGAACAAAAAAAAAAACAATGATTAATGTATTTGAATGTTTGCTTGTTTTTTTCCCCTGTCGTTGTTGTATGTTTAATTTAATCTCTTTATTGCTAATTAAGAAAACAAACCAGAATTTAATGTAAGGAAAGTTAGCAGCCGATTCGAGTATTTTCCACGACGATTCGCCTGAGTAACTAAGCCACAAAAGAAAACTAGTAAGCCACCTAGAACTCGACGAGCTCTATCTAATGGTGTCATCAGATCCTACGAAACTCCCACCTGAACGCCAAAAAACCCCAAAAATCAAAAACACCCATAGGAAAAAATACGCAAAAACTACCATTTTTCGTAAAAACCATGACGATTCGCACAGAAACTTAAGCCACTTTTGAAAACCACACCATTCGATGCAGAATTTCAAGCTCTATCGAATGGTGTACAACTTGCATGACTGCCCATCAGTCATAGAGGGTTTCCGCTCCCAAAACCGTGAAAAACTGGAAAAAAAAAGAAATTCCTACTCATGAATTCCCCTGACGATTCGTTCAGGTACATAAGCCATCGACGAAACATATACCATTCGATGCAGAATTTCCAGCTCTATCGAATGGTGTACAACTTGCACGGCTGCCCATCAGTCATGGCGGGTTTTCGCCCCCAAAACCTTGAGAAACTGGATAAAAAATGAAATTTCTACCTATTAATTCCTCGGACGAGTCGTTCAGGTACTTAAGCCATCGCTGAAACCAATACTATTCCATTCAGAATTTGAATCTCTGAGGAATGGTGGGCAACTTGCATTGCTGGCTGTCAGTCATGCAGGGTTTTCAGCGTAAAAAGTTCGAAGGAGTGCTAGAAGTTGAAATTTCTATCTATCTATTTCGCTTACAATTCGTTGAAATAGTTAAGCCGCAGACGAAATATGTACCATTCGATGCAGAACTTCATGCTCTAGCGAGTGGTCTGCAATTTGCACGATTTACTGTGACTGGTATGTGGGTTTCACCCGAGTAACCTTGAAAGACTCCGAAAAATTGGAGTTTTGTCCAATTGAATCCTCTGACAATTGGTTTAGGTACTTGAGGTGGTGGGAAGCAAACACTGTTGCATGCAGGATTTAACGGCTGATCATTTAGGCGATACCTTCCATGTGTATGAGTCACTTGGATACCGCTTCGCCCTATACAAAGGCTTGAAGCACAAGAAAAATTGAGTTTTCTTTGCGTGAACTCTCCTCACGATTCCTTCAGCTACATAAGCCACTAACGAATCATACAGGATTCGATACCGTCTTCGTAGCGGTATCGAATCACGTGTGATCTCACAGTGGCTTGTTCACTTCTGCGAAGAGTCCTGAGAATTGGCTCTCACGGTTACCAAGTTTCACTATGTTTCGAAACCTCTTTGTGTCGCAGCCCTTCGAGACTGATCTCTATTCGCGGAAGGGGGCCAGTATTGGATGAGGCTGTGAAATCCGCGATAGCTGCAGCATAAATCACCCCTGACTTATGCTCCATAACGAAACGTCAGGAGAATTAATGGAAAGAAATGCCAATTTTTCTTATAGTTCTAGGATAGGTATGCATCAAACTCCTATCACATTAGTGCTTAGCCATATAAGCTGTGCACTACTAGAGGAAGTGCCAACTCTGCGTCGGATAAAATGCGTCTTCTCAGCGGCTTATTTCCGACAAGCAATCACCGCGAGAATTACTAGAGAGAAATACCAACCTTGGCGACTTTTCAGCAGTTGACCTTCGAAGTGGAATCTCGTTTGTATTCAGCCATGCGAGATATATACCAATAGATACGGCGCGAAATTCTCAGTTGACTTCTGCAAGTTTCCCCGTTGGCTTAAGTGCCTTAACCAATCGTCACAGGAACTAATCAATCGTCATTCCCCTTTTCGCAGTTTTTCAAAGTTTTTACTGTAAAAACCCCATCTCATTGATAGTGAACCGTAAAAGTTGCGCACGATTCGATAGACCTTGAAATTTGGTATCAACTAGTACATTTTTCGCGGGTGGCTTAGGTATCTGAACGAAATGTCAGGGACATTGATGGGTACAAATTCAACGTTTCGCCCTTTTAATATTTTAATACTCGAAATCCTCTATGGCTCGTCATCAGCGGTACAACTTCTACACAATTCGATAGAGCTTGAAACTTTCCATCAAATGATATATGTTTCGTCGATGGCTTAAGTACCTGAGCGAATCGTCAGAGGAATTCATGGGTAGAAATTTCATTTTTTTCCAGTTTCTGCGGGTTTTGGGGGCGAAAACCCCCTATGACTGATGGGCAGCCATGCAAGTTGTACACCATTCGATAGAGCTTGAAATTCGGCATCGAATGGTATATGTTTCGTCGATGGCTTAAGTAGGTGAACGAATCATCAGAGGAATTAATAGGTAGAAATTTCATTTTTTTCCAGTGTCTCAAGGTTTTTGGGTTGGAAACCCTATATAACTGATGGTGTGTCGTCCAAGTTGTACACCATTCGATAGAGCTTGAAATTCTGCATGGAATGGTATATGTTTCGTAGATGGCTTAACTACCTGAGC